AAAAAAAGAAAATTTAGCCCACGTAGAACGGTCCAGTCAGCAGCCACAGTGAACCAAAGCACACCGTGTGGAAAAATACGCTGACATTGGCACAACATGGGTGATTCATGTGCCTGGTGATCCGACGATCCAGATCATGCCCCACGCGCATGAACGACGTAGATAAGTTTTCCCTTCAGGCGTGATCGAACGGTTAGATTCAATCCAATCGTACGGTCCAGATTTATTCTACGAATATGAGAGATCCAATGGACGGGAGAGGGCCACGCGTCTCCGTACGGACAACCTATATCGACACGGTGAGGGTATTTAAGTATTGTATTCTAGGGAACCCTAACCCTAGTTGCACCAACCCTTGTTGGAGAAGAAGAAGAATGACAGTCGGAAAAGAAATCGACCATCGTCACTGCTGCACCAGAGGCACCGTGGATGCTAAAGCATGTACGTTTTTACTCCCTTCCCACTCGAAATTCAATACTGAGCCTCCCTATCCATATCAAACTAAAAGATTGACAGGTGAGCAAAAAATTATAGGCAAAGCTTGACCGAGCTGCCATGGTAAAAATTCAAAATCCTCTCTGATGACCTTCTTATTTCTTATTTTACGCGATTCTTTAACTACTGTGTTCACCATTTTTTTCTAGTGCAGGTTAGCCGAAGAAGAATCCCAATCGTGAAGGAAGACTGACGGAGCCACTGCACCCGAAGACCCCCAACTGGTAGGTTTCAATTTTTTTAACTTTTTCGACCAGCCGAGGTTCCTTAACATGTTTTTTCGTAGGGATACATGTAAAATCAACCAAAATCGATTTAAATCGGTGGAAACTGACTAGGCTGAGATAAACTGCCACTGTGGGCAGTAGAGCCGGCGCTGCCGTGCTAGCTTTAAAATTTATCAGAAAAGTTTTTCAACATCGATTTTAGTATTTTTAGATATTTTTAGGTACGTAACATGTATTTTAATTTCTATAGAGAAAATTTAGAAAACTCGGGGATCGTCAAGAGGTGTAATAGATAACATGGTGTTTTGAAACCAGATCTAGATAAAGATTCCTCACCCTATTCCTTATTACGGTAAATTGAGGCTTAAATAATCGATAATCTTGTATTTTATAAAAATTAAAAAATAAAAATAATTACAGGTCACTAGTGGAGCTAAAACAGTCAGTTTATATTTGTTTTAATTCACTGTTTATTTTTCAGTACTGCTTAAATTACTTACTGTTATATTATGCGTACTAAATTGATAGTTTTGATCGGTTTCCTTGGGTTGTTTGATTTACTTTATTGCACATTTTCCTTTTTATGGTTTATCCCACAATAAATGTCTCAATTATG